TCCGCTGCTTGTGTTCCTGCTCTTGCTATCTCTCTCTCTCAAATAAATAAATAAAATCTTTAAAAAAAAAAAAAAGCAATACATTTGATGTGTCTTCTTGTTTTTCCATTCCCTGTTCTCTTTCTTCTTCTGTTTTTTTCCTAAACCTGAACCTGGAAAAAGGGATTAAGTGACATGCTTTATTTAGGTTTTTAGAAAGTTCATATCCCTGACTCATGTTGGAACTTGAATGAGATGGTTGTGCTGGGTAATTAATTAGGTGTCTGTAGAGAATCCAGAGGCTTGAAGTTTCTATATCTTGTTAATAGAAATTTTGTTTCCAAATACAATTTTGTATTTTCTCTTCATTCCCACTCTCCCTGCCTCAGTGTTCTAGTTGTAGCTGTGGCCGGTCTCTTCCACATGGACGCCTCCCGGAGATTGGTACTTGAACTTATAGCAGTATGTAACCTGGGCTTTTCTGCAAGAGTTAAACATTTCCCCTTAATTTATGCTGATAGGCTTGACTCCTAATGTTCATTTAACATTAGATATTTATTGAGCACTTACTGTTTGCCAGGCACTATTCATGTACGAGGAATTCTGTGGTAAATGATACAGATACTCTCTCTTACCTTATGGACATTACGCTCTAGTTAAAGGGAGACAAAGAGTAACCAAGTAAAGAAATAAGCTAAATAGGGGCACCTGGGTGGCTCAGTTGGTTGAACGTCTGGCTCTTGGTTTCTGCTGGGTCATGATCCGCAGGGTCGTGAGATCAAGCCCCGAGTCTGGCTCCATGCTCAGCAGGGAGTCTGCTTGGGATTCTCTCTCCCTCTTCCTCTGCCCCTTCCCCTGCTTGCTCACTCTCTCAAATAAATAAATATTTTTAAAACCCAGAAATAAGCTAAATAAATTCAGCTTATGTTAAATACCAAGAAGGAAATAAAATGGCGCAATGTGATAAAAGACTGACTGTGGAAGTGCATAGAATCTATCACATAACCTGTTCTAGCACCTACAACTTGGAGCTATAGTTTTATTAGCACCCTTAAAGTAGAAGAACTGACGGTGAATGGTGGTCGTAAGCAGAGGCTGACCTCCACCCTTATGCAACATAGAACTATCTTGGCAAGTGATCCTGGTCTCTGCTCAGTTGTTTGAGGGTTTTTTGTTTTTTAAGAAATCGTTACATAAAGAAAAATAGAATAGTTAACAAACACCTGGGTACATTCCACTCTTTTTTTTTTTCAAAGATTTTATTTATTTATTTGACAGAGACACAGCAAGAGAGGGAACACAAGCAGGGGGAGCGGGAGAGGGAGAAGCAGGCTTCCCGTGGAGCAGGGAGCCTGATGTGGGGCTCAATCCCAGGACCCTGCGATCATGACCTGAGCCAAAGGCAGACACTTAATGACTGAGCCACCCAGGTGCCCCAATTCTACTCATTTTTAAAAGAAAGAATACAGGGGCGCCTGGGTGGCTCAGTTGGTTGAGCATCCGACTCTTGATTTCGGCTCAGGTCATGATCTCGGAGTCATGAGATTGAGCCCAGCATGGAGTCTGCTTGTCCCTCTCCCTCTGCTCTTCCTCCTCTCTCTCAAGTGAATGAATAAGTAAAATCTTTTGAAAATAAAAATAGGGCACCTGGGTGGCTTAGTCATTAAGCGTCTGCCTTCGGCTCAGGTCATGGTCCCAGGGTCCTGGGATCAAGCCCCACATCGGGCTCCCTGCTCTGAAGGAAGCCTGCTTCTCCCTCTCCCACCCCCCTGCCATGTTCCCCCTCTCACTGTGTCTCTCTCTGTGTCAAATAAATAAATAAAATCTTTAAAAAATTTAAAAAATGAAAAGAATAAAAGAAATAATGCATTATAGATATGGTTGAAACTCTTTCTGTATCCCTCTTGGATCGCATTTCTCTTTCTCCTTCCCTAAAAGTAACCAGTATCCTGAATTCATTATATTTGTGTATCTTTGTAATATATATATATCTTAAATACAATATAGTATTATTTTTGCATGTTTAGACTTTATACGCATGACATACTGTGATTGTCATCTCCTTTGCTTTTCTTACTCAATATTACAGCTTCTAGATTTATCCAGGATGTGTGTAGTTGTGCTTCTTTAATTTTAATTGATGTATAGTAGTCCATTATATGAATATACCACAATTTATTGATCTGTCTTACAGATGCATAATTTTTATTTTTGCCAAATCGATGGGTTTTAAATCCTATCTTGTTTTATTTTTCATTTTTCTTATTAGTAAAGGGGTTAAACATTTCTTCATTTATTAATTAGACATTGGAATTTCCTCTTTGAATTCCATGTTCATATTCTCTGCCCATTTTTCTCTCCTTATTTCTTCTGATTGCTTCTTATTTATTTGCAGGTTTGATATGAATCCTTTGTCAGCTACGTGTATTGCAAATCTTCCAATCTATAGTTTATCTTTTAAATTCATTTATAATGTTTTCATTTGTATAGAAATTCTTTTTCTGACAGATTTATCAGTTAGTTCCTTTATGCTTTATATCTTATTTAAGAAATTCTTCCTAGATGTGCATATAATATTGGCCTGTGTTGAAACTGGGTGGTGGTAATCAGATTTACTTGTACTAGTCTCTACTTTTTTGTATGTTTGAAATATTCCAAAATTTAAAAATTTAAAATAAGTCCACTGGAATACATTTCATAGCAAATGTGCTTTAAGTTTTATTGTATAGAACAATCAATTGCCCTAATAATAGGCCAAGGCTTGTAATTTGGTGGGGTAAAGAGTTACTTTCATCTCTATATAAGATCTGTCATTTGGTCTTTTTTTAAAAAACCACTTTGTTGTTAGGTTAAACTGTCAACAAGAGGAATTACAATTCTATCTGGGCGGGGGTGGGGTGGGGGCGGGGAAGAGAGCCTTATCTACCCTGAGGTCACAAGGAATATATACCTAGATTTTCTTCTTCTTAAAGTTTTATTTTACTTTATACATTTATATCTTTGATCTGTCTGGAATTTATTTTTGTAAATCAGGTTTCCCTATATGTGGGTCAGTTTCATGGTTCTTTGTTCTGTTTCATTAATCCATTGGGCCAGTCATTACCACCATTATGGTTTATAAGTCTTTAAAACTAGGAGGGCAAGTCTCCACCTTTTTCTTGTTTTATAGAAATATCTTGACTCGGGCGCCTGGGTGGCTCAGTTGGTTAAGCGACTGCCTTCGGCTCAGGTCATGATCCTGGAGTCCCAGGATCGAGTCCCGCATCGGGCTCCCTGCTCAGCAGGGAGTCTGCTTCTCCCTCTGACCCTCCTCCCTCTCATGCTCTCTGTCTCTCATTCTCTCTCTCTCAAATAAATATAAATAAAATCTTTAAAAAAAAAAAAAAAGAAATATCTTGAATCTTCTAGTCCTTCTTCCAGATGAGATCAACTTTTCAAATTCCAGCAGAACCTCTGTAGGGATTTTGTTTGTAATTGTATTGCATTCAAAGATTAATTTGGGGAAAATTGCCATATTTACAATATTAAATCTTTCTATCCATGAACATGATATACTATTAATTTAATTCAGGTCTTCTTTTATACCCTTTCAGGATATTTTATAATTTTTTCCATAAAAACACTTACACCTGTGGGGCACCTGGGTGGCTCAGTCAGTGGAGCATCCGACTCTTGATTTTGGCTCAGGTCATGATCTCAGAGTCATGGGATCAAGCCCCACGTCCGGCTCTGCGCTGAGCACAAAGTCTGCTTGAGATTCTCAAAAAAAAAAAAAAAAAAAGTCTGCTTGAGATTCTCGTTCTCCCTCTACCCCTCCCCCCACATGCTCATGTACTCTCTGAAATAAATTTTTTTTAAAAATAGTTGCACAGCTTTTGTTACATTTTCCAGTTGACTATTAATGGTATAAATATGAGTGCTATTTTTTCTTTTGAGCTTCTACCAACTCTACTATTATTTGTTCTGGAAATAGTTGCCATAATAAGAGAAATCTTTACTTTGTTTCTGACCTGAATAGCAATGCTTCTAAGCTTCTAAAGCTGCTATATTGCCATTGAGTCTTTTTTTTTTTAAGATTTTATTTATTTATTTGAGAGAGAGAGACAGAGAGAGCACAAGCAGGGGGAGGGGCTGAGGGAGAGGGAGAAACAGGCTTCCCACCGAGCAGGGAGCCCAATGCGGGGCTCAATCCCAGGACCCTGGGATCATGACCTGAGCTGAAGGCAGATGCTTAGCCAACTGAACCACCCAGGCACCCGCCATAGATTCTGATAAATATCTTTTATCAGGTTAAGGATATGCCCTTCTATTCCTGGTCTACTGAAGTTATTTTTAATCATAAATGAATGAGGGTTAAATTTTATTAAATATTTTTTCTTCATCTGGTGATAATCATGTGATCTTCCTTTTTTGACCATTAATGGGGAGGGGGGCGCCTGGCTGATTCGGTCAGTTGAGTGTTTGACTCTTGATTTTGGCTCAGGTCATGATCTCAGGGGGTTGTGGGATCAAGCCCCACATCAGGCTCCATGCTCAACACAGAGTCTGTTTGTCCCTCTCTCTCTGCTCCTCCCCCTGCCACTTGCACTTTCTCTCTCTCTCAAATTAAAAAAAAAAAAAAAACACTTTAAAAAATAGGGATATACATTAATAAATTTCTAATGTAGAACTATCATTTCCTTCCTAAAATAGCTCAGTACTTAAACTTATTCTCCCATCCACAAAAAGAATATATTCTTGACCGTACTTTTTTCATGGGAGATACGTTATTTTTCATTTATTTTCTTAGTGTTTTTATTATGCCTGCCTGCCATTTATTCTTTCATTATTTGAGCGACAGCTACGTGTTTATACCATTCATTGTGCTAAGGGAATGAATACAAGAGAGGAAACCTGAAACAAATATGAGTATGCGGCTCTAAAAGGAAAACCTTACCTTAGTGAGGATTTATGGGAAATCAGTTTTAAAAGTATTAAAAAATACTTTATACTTAAAAAATGTTTTGTTTTGTTTTGTTTTGTTTTTCCCCTATGTGGAAATAATGCAAACATTTATTTTCTATATCAGACAAGAACACAGCTAAGTAATCCAATTCTACTGCAGCATTATAAAAATCATCCCTTCACCACCGTGTAAGATTTAAATGCATCTGCACAAGGGTGCACACTATATAAAAGGAGTAAGGTTGCTGCTGCCCTGCCAAGCACTTCCGGTCCCTACCCAGGTCCTACTGCAATACTGGTGGTCCCAATGGTTTTATCCAAATAAATTGTGTTTAAAAAATAAAGCATTTAAGAAGACAAGTCAAAATGCCTCAGAAACCATATCTCCAACTCAAACTTCATCTATTTAAATGTTATATTTGCCTCCCACTAATAAACCTTTATTTCACTCAAACTGAGCAATAAATCTTCCACACTGAAATATCTTCCTTGCCTAATTAATCCAAAGGAAAAAAACTGAAATGATTAGTAAAGAAAAATGTAGGGACTAACACACCCTTTTAATATGTTTTTAAATATTTTTAAGGTTTAAAAGTGTTTAAAGTTTGTAATTCCTAGTAGGAAAACATTATCTGAATGACTACCCTAATGGCAAGCCACTATAGAATGTTTCAGTTGCATATGGGGCAGAGGGGTAGGGATTCTCTTCACAGCACCCCAGCTTTCTTCATGAGAAAGTCAGAGGTACACTGGTTTGTATTATTGCGACATCCATTAGGTGATCGTTGCTTTTCCTTCAGCAAGGGCTTTATTTGTCAGAAGGGCATTATTATGTTTGACCTCCAAATTTGGATGACAATTTACTGATGAGATTCATAACCTTTGGATTGCTCTGATATTTTGACATATTCGCTGGGTTCTGGGCCACATCCTGGAAGGCCACCATAACTTCTGGATCCTGCATGGCTGCGAGAACCTCTGGATCACTAAGAATTTCATTGAGCCCAGGCATTCCTGCCATTCCAGGCATCCCCCCTGCCATTCCAGGCATTCCTCCAGGAAAATTACCAGGCATTCCCCCAGGAAAGCCACCTGGGAAAGAGCCATACTGAGCTCCTGATTGTTGTCTGGTTTCTTCCTCCCTCTGGGCTCTCTCATGTTCTTCCCGAGCCTTCTTAACCCTTTCTATTCTTTCTTTGATCTCTCGCTCGTCACGTTTTCACTCATACTTTCTCCGATGTTCAGCAATTTTCTGGGCCCTCGGTTGAACTTGTTTCAGCATTGCGCTAGCATCTTCATCGTAATCCAGTTTACAAGCAAGGGCAAGATCATGTGCTGCTTCTTCCCAATGGCCCAGAAGTCTGTGTGCTTTCCCTCGCCACTTATAAGGCTGAGCTGAATCAGGATTTATTTCAATAGCTCTGTCACAGTCTCGAATGGCAGCATTTGGCTTCTGTAATTTGATGAAGACACTGGCTCTCTTGGCATACAGAATGGCCAAGCGAGGATTCAGTTTGATGGCATCTGTGAACAAGTCAATGGCTTTCTGTAGTTCACCATCATTTAGGGCATCAATGGCAGCCACTTTTTTATCATTTGCCTGATCCATCATTTCCTCGGTTATCTCTACATTTTCATCTCCCATTTCTTGAGGGGCATCAGTATCTGGTTCAATCACACCTTCATTGTCAATTTCTAGATCACTTTCCTCACTTGATGGTTCGTCTGTCTTTATGTTTTCCTCCGCCTTTTCTTTTTTTTTAAAAGATTTTATTTATTTATTTGAGAGAGAGAATGAGATAGAGCATGAGAGGGGGAAGGGTCAGAGGGAGAAGCAGACTCCCCGCTGAGCAGGGAGCCCGATGCGGGACTCGATTCCGGGACTCCAGGATCATGACCCGAGCCGAAGGCAGTCGCTTAACCAACTGAGCCACCCAGGCGCCCCCCCCTCCGCCTTCTTACTATCTGTTTTTTCTTCCTTGATATTGTCTTCTGATTTAGTTTTATGAGTGGCAGGTGGTATTTTACCCCCCATGCTCTCCACCCACTCCCGCAGGAAGCACATTTCCTCGGTGTGCAGAACGCTCGGATCCTGCTTACACATTTTCACGAAGGCCCGAAGCTCGCTCACTTTGCGGGGGTCCATGGTTCAGAGGCGGTGAAAGGCGGCAGGCGCGGCTGAGGTTGCGGCCCGATTCCAAGCCCGGGTACTAGCTCAGCGTGATCGTAAAAAATGTTTTTATATAAAAATAAAATGTTGGGGAAGAGAATAGCATGACAGATTTGGAGGTACAAAGGACTAATCTGGTGGCAGCCTTTAGGAGGGGAGGAAAAGTACAAGCAAGAGGCCAGTTAGTAGTGTAATGTCTAAGATTATATGAATGACAATCTAGTTCAGACTACCATCCATAGTAACAAAAGGGAAAAGGTGGATATGAGGGCACCATTACAGTATGACTTGGTTATTTGTTTAAATATAACTAGGTTAAAGGAGGAGAGAATTGAATATTTTTACAAAATTTTGAGATTAAATAACTAAAAATTTTGAGCTACTGTTGATTAAAATGGGGAAATTGGAAAAGGAAGCCTTTGAGGATACATGTTTGAGGTTGGACACTCCTAAGGAGATGATGACCACCTCTGCACAGCCCCCAGGATATTATCATATGCAGCTGAGTGAATACTTTCTGGTGACGTCAGTGTGATGAAAATGATAAATCCTTTTGAGAGGCAGTGTGATACAGAGGTGGAAAGAACAGAAAGTTCAAAATCAAGAGTTTGCATCCCAACCCCATTAATAAAACTATGGACCTTAGTTTTTACACCTAAGAAAAAGGAATACTACCACCCCCCATCAGTTGTTTTGAGTATTAAATGAAATGGCACTTGTGAAATAATATTGTAAACTTTCAAATTTATACTATTAAGGGAGTTTACAGTGGTTAGAGAGGCTGTTGGGTTGAGTAGGCAGGACAGTGGTGTGCTGGAATGAGGGATAAGGCAGCTAGAGGCAGCACATAGGGCGGTGCTACTAAAAACAGGATCGGGTAGTCTTTAACGTCATTCTAGAGCAGCGCTGTTCAATAGGACTTTCTGCAGTGACAGAAATACTCTACTCTGCATTGTGCAGTATGGTAACCACCAGCCACATGTAGCTCTTGAGCCCTTGAAATATGGCTGGTGTAACCTGAGGAAATGACTTAAAACATTTTTTTAATTGTGGTAAAATACACATAACATACAATTTACCATTTTAACCATTTTTAAATGTACAATTTAGTGACATTAAGTACATTTACAGTGTTGTACAGTCATCACCACTATCCATCTCCAGAACTTTTTCATCATTCCAAACAGAAACTCTATATCCATTAAACAAAAACCCCATTCTCCCCCTCCCCAGCCTCTGGTAACACCTAGTCTACTTTCTGTCTCTGTGAGTTTGCCTGTTGAAAGTACCTCATACAAGTGGAATCATACCATATTCATCCTTTTGTGTCTTGCATGTTTCCAAGGCTCATCCATGTGTCAGAATTTAGTCCCTTTTTGTGACTGAGTAATAATCAAATGTATGTATACACCACATTTTCTTTCTTCATCTGTTGATGGACACTTTGGTTGCTTTTATGTTTTGGCTACTGTGAATAGTGCTGCTATGAATATTATGGTGTACATAGTGATGTGTCCAGTATCTATTTGAGTCTCTACTTTCAGTTTTTGGGGGTATATACCTAAGAGTAGAATTGCTGAATCATATGGTAATTCTGTGTTTAAATTTTTGAGGAACCACCAAACTATTTTCCACAGCAGCTGCATCATTTTACATTTCCACCAGCAATGCACAGGGCTTCCAATTTCTCTGTGTCCTCCCCAAAAGAGTATTTTCTGGTTTTCTTCATAATGGCCATCCTAATGGGTGTGAAGTGATATTTCATTGTGGTTTGGGTTTGCATTTCCCTAATGACTAATGATGTTGAACATCTTTTTACATGCTTAGGCCATTTGCCTATTTGGAGAAAAGTCTTTTCTAGTCATTTGCCTATTTTTGAATCAGGTTATTTGGTTTTTTGTTGTTTAGTTGTAGGAGTTCTTTATATATTTTGGGCATCAATCCCTTAGCAGACACATGGTTTGCAAATATTTTTCTCCCATTCAGTGGGTTGTCTTTTCACTCTGTTGATAGGGTCCTTTGATATGCAAATGTTTTTTATTTTGTATGTCTATTTTCATTTTTTATTACTTTTTAAAAATTAAAATCTTTTTCTTTTATTTTTTATTGAAGTATAGTTGACACACAACGTTACATTAGTTTCAGGTGTACAACATAGTGATTCAACAGCTCTATATGCTGTGCTCATCACAAGTTTAGCTATCATCTGTCACCAGACAACACCATTACAGTACCATTGACTATATTCCCCATATTGTACCTTTCATCCCCGTGACTTATTTATTCCATAACTGGAAAGAAGCCTGTACCTTCCATTTCCTTTCATCCCTTTTTAGCCCATCCCCCAACCCCTTCACTCTGGCAACGACCAGTTTGTTCTCTGTATTTGTGAGTCTGTTTCTGCTTTTTTAATTTATTTTTTTGTTTGCTTTGTTTTTTAGTTTCCACATATAAGTGAAATCATATGGTATTTGTCTTTCTCTGTCTTATTTCACATAGCATAATACCCTTGGTCCATCCATATTGTTTCATATGGCAAGATCTCATTCTTTTTAATGGCTGAGCAATATTCCACTGTAAATGTATACCATATGTTCTTTATCCATTCATTTGTCGATGGACACTTAGATTGCTTCCGTATCTTGGCTATTGTAAATAATGCTGAAATAAACATAGGACTGCATATGTCTTTTCAAATTAGTATTTTTGTTTTCTTTGGGTAAATGCCCAGTAGTAGAATTACTGGATCATATGATATTTCTGTTTTAATTTTTTGAGGAACCTCCACACTGTTTTCCACAGTGGCTTCACCAATTTACATTCCTGCCAGCAGTGCATGAGGGTTCCTTTTTCTCCATATCCTCGCAAACACTTGTTATTTCCTATCTTTTTTTTTTTTTAAGATTTTATTTATTTATTTGACAGAGACACAGCGAGAGAGGGAACACAAGCAGGGGGAGTGGACGAGGGAGAAGCAGGCCTCTCATGGAGCAGGGAGCCCGATGCAGGGCTCGATCCCAGGACCCCGGGATCATGACCCGAGCCGAAGGCAGACGCCTAATGACTGAGCCACCCAGGCGCCCCGTTATTTCATACCTTTTTGATACTTGCCATTCTGACAGGTATATGGTGATATATCATTGTGTTTTTGATATGCATTTTCCTAATGATTAGTGATGTTGAGCATCTTTTCATGTGTCTGTTTGCTATCCGTATGTCTTCTTTGGAAAATGTCTATTCAGGTCCTCTGTTTTTGGGGGGGTTTTTTTAAGATTTTTTTTTTAAATTTATTTATTTGACAGAGAGATAGCACAAGTAGGCAGAGCGGCAGGCAGAGGGAAAGGGAGAGGCAGGCTCTCTGCTGAGCAGGGAGCCTGATGCGGGGTTCGATCCCAGGAGCCTGGGATCATGACCTGAGCCGAAGGCAGCCGCTTAACCGACTGAGCCACCCAGGTGCCCCCCTCTGTTCATTTTTTAATCAGATTATTTGTGGTTTTTTGGTGTTCAGTTGTGTACATTCTTTATATGTTTTGGATATTAACCTCTTTTTGGATATATCATTTGCAAATATCTTCTGTCATTCAGTAGGTTGCCTTTTCATTTTGCTGATGGTTTTCTTCACTGTGCAAAAGCTTTTTATTTTGGTGTAGTCCCAGTAGTTTATTTTTACTTTTGTTTCCCTTGCCTGAAAAGGATAAATCCATTTTATTTATTTTATTTTTTTATTTTGTTGTCCATGTTTTTGGTGTCAGATCCAGGAAATCATTGCCAAATCCAGTGTCATGAAGATTTTTTTTTTTTTTTAAGATTCTTTATTTATTTGTCAGAGAGAGAGAGCGAGAGAGAGCAAGCACAATCAGGGGGAGAGAGAGGCAGAGGGAGAAGCAGGCTCCGAACTGAGCAGGGAGCCTGATGCAGGGCTTGATCCCAGGACCCTGGGATCATGACCTGAACCGAAGGCAGACGCTTAACCGACTGAGCCACCCAGGCATCCCAAGTGTCATGAAGATTTCCCCCTATACTTTCTTTTAAGAATATTCTGGTTTTAGCTGTTACATTTAGGTTTTTGATCCATTTTGAGTTCATTTTTAATATGCTATTAAGGTAACGGTCCAACTTCATTCTTTTGCATAGGAATATCCAGCTTCACCAGCACCATTTGTTGACAGCTATCCTTTCCCCATTGAATGGTCTTGACACCTTTGTCAAAAATCAATTGACCATATAAGTGAAAGTTTATTTCTGGGTTCTCTATTATGTTCTACTAGTCTGTATGTCCTTATGACAGTACCACACTGTTTTGATTACTGTAGTTTTGTAGTAAGTTTTGAAATTGAGAAGTGTGAGTCCTCTAATTTTTATTCTTCTTTTTAAAAATTGTTTTAGTTATTTCGAGTCCCTTGAAATTCCATATGAATTTTAGTATCTTTTTTTCCTGTTTCTGCAAAAAATGCCATTGGGATTTTGATAGGGATTGCATTAGATCACTTTGGGTAGTATTGTCATCATAACAATATTAAGTCTTCCAATCCATGAACATGGGATGCCTTTCTATTTATTGAAACTGAACTTTTAATTACATTTAATTTTAGGTAATTTAAATTTAACTTTATACAGCCACATGTGGCTAATGGCTACCATATCAGATAGCATAGCTCTAGAGAATCATCCTCAGATTTATTTTTCTTTCTAAAACATTGAACTACAGTAGTATCTACAGAGACTTCGTAGCACCTGAATCATCATTGGTCTCAGGATAACTGCACCATATGGAAAGCATGGTTAGACCTGCATACAGGATAGTTTAGGTTCCTCCAGGTGATCTCTGTCTCCTTCTCTGTTTTCCTTTTGGAAATGCCTGCCTTCCTCTGGAACCAAAGAGAACCTATTGCTTTCAGAAAATCAGCAGAAAAACTCTGCCTCTGTTAGAAATGGAATTTCTTCTGCCTTTTCCTATTTCCATATAAGCAGAGACCATGGTACCCATATTTTAAAAGAAATTCCCTCTCTAAATAAAGATGACTATATTAAGGCACTTATACTTTATTCATC